TTTTAAACAAAACTATTTTCATACAGCACTACATTTAGAAACTGAACCATATGCTGCTGAAGGAAAAAGCCATCAGGGAGAAAAGGTTCATATTTACATACAGGATGAACAGTACAAAGCATTAGCTGGACTTATACTTTACATTTAGAGTTTATACCACTAGTGTGAGTGAGCTACGGACAAGGAGAGCTCTGAGTTTGTCACAAGGTCACACTACTGCAGGCTCTAGGTGGACACCACTGCAGACACCTTATTCTACCAGTCAGGATGGGAGCTGTCTGACAGCACTGGCTTGGACAGAAAACCATCTCAAGTAGTGCCCATCTCCTCCAAGGCAAGTATTTATACACACGGAGACAGCTTTGCTCTTAGCCTCTCCATGCTTGCTGGAAGCAGAGACACCATCTCCTTACTGAGTTCTAGTTCGGTTTCAACGGCAGGGACAGCATCAGGGTACTTCTCACAATACTCTACCAGGAATGTGTAATACTCCAATGATGTCTGCATATTTTCCAGTTGCTTTTTGCTATCTGAAGTAATAAGCTTACCATACAGTCGTGCAATATGAAATTTAGCCACCATTGCAGGGCGAAGAACATCTTCCTCGAGCTTTTCAGGAAACACCTTATCAGGGTTCCTCAAAGAATCCAAGAAGAGTTCATAATATTTGATTGCGAATTGAGCCAGAGAATTAATCTTTTTAACTGTGTGGGAGTCTAGTTTCTCTAACCTGTTACCAATAGCTACCTTTAAATCCATCATCTCATAGTAGGTGTCAGCCAGCTCGCACTGGAGCTGCCTGCAGATGAGCAGGTAGTACTGGGGGTTCAGGTCTGCATAGATGGGCTCCAGCATGTCTATCCTACGCTTGTGCATCTTGCAGCGCCTCTCATAGTCTTCTTCAAAGAAAGCCAGGACCTTAAACAAAGCACTGTGATCCTGAACAATTTCAATATGGTCAGTAACATAACCATCCACCTGAAAGAACTCTTTTGCTTCCTGAACATAGTTCTGACCAACTAGGAAGATTTCCCTGGCTTCCTGAAAATCTAAAGGATATACACTGCTCACTTTCTCTTCCATGGCTAAGACAGAGTCACATATATCACTTGTGCCAAAAAGGACAGCTTTCTTCCTGCCCTTCTCTTTTTCATCCTCTTCTTTTTTCCTTTGGGCTTTGAGTTCCAACTGCCTGTCTGGATCCAGCTCTCCTATGTTATCCTGAAATGAGAAAGCATACTAATTAAAAATGCATGTGGCTCACAAAGAGAGATTGACACTGAATCGTTTTATTTATGAGTTACCTTTGAAATATAAACTAGTGAGCAACAAGACAGAAGAGAAATTATTACTGGCATATTAGTACTCACCAAAAAGATCATGTAAATTAAAGTATATGTTCTGTAAAAACATAAGACTTGGATGATTCAGTCTCCCTACCCTGTGTGACAAAATAGCCAAAGCAACAAACATTAAGCCCAAAGGCAGGTCAGCAAATGCTGGTTTAAACATCTGAAGGAATGCCTGAATGAATGAAAGGAACACCTGAATGAATGAAATGCTTGAATGAATACGAACACAAAACTGGTGCATATCGAGATGATGTTCTCTCTAACAGTTAAATAAGAAGCAATCTGTCAAATCAAGCTGCAAGAAAGTTCAGCAGGGATAAGGGAAACTTGTGAAGCTGCTGTACAAGCACTGCACGAGCTGATCTATCCATGCTTATCCCTGAGTGCTGCACTGTGGAACCCTTGATACACTGCAAGCATCTGTTGTGTCATTCACTGGGCAACTGATCATTTCTTGTTACCCACTGAGAACTGATTCCTGCTGCAAACATCAAAGCAAGCTTAGTTTGCTGTTAGACAGTGACAGCTACAGAAGAGTTCTGCTGTTACCTCCAGTAATTTCCGAGCGCTTTGCAGGAGATTCAGGCAATACTTAATCCAGCATCTTGCAATTTCAGCTTTCCTCTCTGGCAGGTCGTGCTGGTCCTGCTCTGTTTCGTCTACTGAATGAACGTAAACACACAAAAACTTTAAAAGAACTCCCTCAAATGTTTCAGGCAAAGAATATGATACTTGTACTTAATTAATTTTTCCTCACAGTTAGACAGAAATGTGTTGTCCCTGTCGGTTTATATAATAATTCTGTAAACTGTCATTTCTGGTAGAAACCCCTACAGATTACCATGGATTTGTCATTTAAGTATTCTTAAATAGATCATAATGCATGTTCAGAAAGACCTTTCATCTGGAAGGTGTTATACTGGAAATGTTTTCGTGTCTCTCTGTAATAAGAGAAAGAAATGAGGGTAATTAATTTTCTGAGATTCAGCTGCCTGCCCAGTAACTGCTTCTGAGGAGAAGGGCATTTGTACTGCAATGGGCCCCAGACTTGCTATCAAAAAAGGGAACAAAGTAGGGGAAACTGCCTTTAGTTAATCTACCTGCTACAAACATGAGACTTATTAGCTCTACAACTTCTGTGTTTTTCTCCCCACAGTCTCCCCACTACCATAAGTAGCAGCACTTCTGATGTCTCAAGATAAAATTTTCAAAACCCAAACAGATTTCAAAGGAAGCTGCAGAAGGCAGTGAGTTAGTTGAACAGTGAGGGGACATTACTACAGGAGAGCAGCAATCCTGTTCACCAAAAAAACAAAGCCAGTTCAGACTCAGATCCACTGCGTTCATTATCTTTCATCAGGGCCAATCAAGCTGTTCCTAAAGAATTAAGAATTGCTGCTTATGTAAGAAAAGGCACATTTACTAATTATCTGTGTTATTTTATATTCCAATTACCATCATAAAATGAATGTGCTTGAGAGTGGCCAATGCTGACTGTGCATTGATCTTGCTAATTAGAACTTCCCACAAATCCACAGCCCAGCGCTCTGTACCACAGAAAGGAAGGGGAGGGGAGGTAGGATAAACATTTACTCCACCAAAACAAATGGGAAAATCACTACTCGCATTCGGTGTAGGAGGAAGGCAAGATAAAACTCAGTTGATTTGTACTTGCTACTCTCCACAAGTTACAGCTCTGTGGACTGGAAGCTTCCAGTTGCCCGAGAGGGACATAAAAGGCTGTGCTGTAGATAAGCAAAGACTAAGCCTAAAACAGAGCACTGACACTATCGTGTAACCACAAGTCTCTAAAACTGGGGTCAGTTCTCTAAAAGTTTCCTTTTACTGATCTTCACACTGAACTGCCAAGTTGTTCCTTTGTCCCAAACAACAAAGAGGAGAGCTACAACTCCAAAAAGAGCCACTGATGAGGCTGCAGCATCCAGCAACAAAAGGCAATTTAAGTGCCTTCTGGATCTGCGGTTTTAAGAGCTGCAGTTTTCCTCCCTATTTTAAAACTATTCCCAGGAAGCATCTGGTTAGGTTCATTGAATCTCTGCCCTCTGATCGCTGAGCTAAACTGCATTTTCAGCACACGTACAAGGTCAAATGGACAAACAGAGCCACTGCCACTGCTGAAGTGGGTATTGGTTTAAATTTCACTTTTTTTCTGGTACTTTCTGAAACACCAGCAACAAGCACTTGAGGTTTTCTCACTGGGTCTACTCATAGCCAACCTGGAGCTGTACTACCAGCACTAGCAGCTTTTCAAAAGCATTCTACGTTATTGCTAATAAAAAAGACTTTAGAAAATTAACACCAGAATAAGTTTTGTGCATGCTGTTAAATTTCATTATGTATCAATGATGCTTAAATCACAACAATTTTACTCCAGACTTCTCCATGAACTTACCGTCCTCAGCAGACGGCACCTGTCCCGCTTGGCTGAAGATGACACTGGCTGCTGCCAGGCAGTGCCGGGCCTCCATAAAGCATTCCTGGGAGAAACAGAACCAGCAGCACTGAGCACCCCAGGCACTGCTCTCAGCCTGGCCAACCCCCTCAGACCGTGAACATACATGACATGACAGAGCTGAGAGGCTCTGGAGCACATTCCCCCAGGCACTGGAACAGAACACAGAGTTTCTCCCCAGCTACTACTGAATGCAGTATTTTCTAAGCAGCTGTTCTCTCTGTCCCACAGCCACAGTTAGCATTAGCTGTGTACACTGGGAGCATTGTCTCTGCTCTGATCTCCCCACCATCGCTTCCCTGCGGTGAAGGAAGTGATGTCTTGTGGCAAACACCATCACGGGGTGTCAGTGGGAACAGCCAGATACACAAGTCAACACCCTGAGTCAGATCTGGATTCCTTTACCCATATTTGGCAGTGCACTGGTTAAGGATTGGTGCTATCAGTGCATCAAAAACACATGGAAATTACTAGTTACTATTGCAATTACCATTAACTGGTTCAGGTATGGCAGAAAACTTTTTAAGCATCAGAAAAGAGCTCTGAACAGCCCCGAATGTAGAAATTTCTAAATAAATCTGAAGCATTTCTTAACGGTGGATCATGTGGAGTCGAGATGTGTGAAGGCAAAGAGCTGCCAACTTGCATATTCACTTTAATGTTCACATAGGCTCAGACGAGTCCAAAGCACATGCTAAGGTACAAAGGACAGTAACTTAGGGGAAACATATAGTGTGCCATACCTTGGCCCTCAGATGGCTTTGGTTTTACATTCTTCTCTTTGCAAGAGAAGAATGTAAAAAAGAGTTTTAAATTAAATTATGTGATAAGCTTCGAGTTTTACTTACGAACGTCCCATCACACCATTGCTAACACTTCATTAACAACAGAGCTTCTCTCACACCTACAGCCCTGCTCATTGTCCCCACTGCCATCACACCACCACAGGAAAGCCTCCATGTCCCCCTCAAAAAAACTGAGAGATGCTTCATGTCAGAAGACAACTTGTGGTTTTACAGGTGCACATGTTAAATTCAGCACGGAGCCCTGTCTCAAACCCCTGTTTAAAACAACTGTCCTACTCGACAGTTACACTGGTGATACAATTACAGCAGATAAACACCGGATGCCTGACCTTGGACAGATAGTACTGTGACAAAGTAGCGGCATTGCGAGCCCATTCCACTGGGTAGTAGCCACAGTACTCCAGCTGGCGTTTCAGAGTGGTGTGGCAATACTGAGCAGCCTTCTCAATCATGTCCAGGTGCTGGTAGACTTGTGCCAGGTAATACAGAGTATGTGTGTAGGCCTTTTCAAATCTGGGAAAAACAACAGTCTCTTTAGATTGCTTTTTCCCCCCACCCTCCCTAAATACACCCTTATAATTAAAAAAAAAAAAAAACAACCAACAAACAAAAAAGTAATAATAATGTAGCTGTGCTGCTCCACACCCACCTTTTGGATCTTTCTTGGTCTGTAAGTTTTTCTTCTTCTGCCATGAAATGTTCACTGGGATCCAGGGGAGGATTTCCATCCTGCAAGGGTACATGACACATCCAGCAAATCACACTGATTACTCCGCAGCACAGTGCTCCCTCTCCTGGCTGCACATCATTTACCATTTTGCAATCCCACATTCCAATCCCAGCTTCAGTTAATGCACTTACACCTCAGTGCCATGTCTGCAGAGCAATTTTACAAAGCTCAGGAGATTCAGAGGATGAAGATATAGAGTTCCACAGAGAATGATAAGGTTTTCAGCTTGTAAAAGTCTTCTGCTTACATCCCTGAACACAGTGCATGCTGCCTGCACCAGAAATACTCAGCCTGGATTCCACAGGACAGTAAGTGGGCATCTTTATTTTGTACAATAACAGAACGGGGTTTGAGGCATCAGTGTAACACCAGGCACGTCTTCAAGTGTGAAAAATTCGTTTTCACAGCTGCCCTCATCAGTCGCAAGAAAACATCCTGCAGGAAGTCCTGCAGAGAACACGCCGTGCAGAGCACTCAGCAGAGCTGCTGGAAACACCACCCGCTGGGAAGGGACTCCAGCACACACACACTACTCACAAACACCAGTGGGACTGCAGGCAGTGTCTCAGTGGGCTTCTCCAGCCCCTTACTGACCTCACCTACTTCTCAGCCCAAGAGAAAGTAAGGCAACAAATCAAAAGCAGTTTAGAGGAATACTTTTCGTAAGATAATACAGTCTCAGGCAGGAACTGTAGCAAGGGCTGAGAATGCACTCTACAGGGAAGAAAAGATATTCTTATGTTTGAGCTGCTTCTCATCAAAAATCCCTGAATGGATCTGTTTGTTTGCTTTTAATAGAAGTGGTCTATTCATCTTAAGAAATGAAAAAATGTGTCTGAAACAGACAGGGACAAATTAAAGTGTGTTTAACCTACCTGAGGCGTGCAGATTTTTGCATATGATCTTTTTATCTTCAGGTTTTTCTGTTTATACATAATTATTTTTTAAGATGTGAGTTTATAACCGTCCATCTCGTTTTCCTTAGATACAAAGGCTCCCAAACCTTCTAACCAGATCTGGAGAATATTCTGGCAAGACTAGAGCTATTCCTGCCCACAAAGCAACTGAAATGACACGGTAAGCAACACCCTTGCCTCCTTTCTGCACATACAGATTTATCCTCTGGTGTCAAGCATTATTTATCCTTTCTTTATCCTCAGGAAGTAAATTCTCCTCTCTAGGTGGACTTCACTAGCCCAAGCTCCTTGCCTTGGTTTTGCTCAAGTCAGGGGAAATCACCCTACTCAATTTGTAAGCTCAGGAAAATGTCTCAGTCATCAAGAGTTTACCAAAGACCTCCTGATAGGAAGGGTTCCTGACAGCCTAAAAATGGGGACTGTTATGAAAAGTATATTCACGTTTTTATAATTCATAAAAGACAAATGTTGACATGGATGTATAAATCCTAAAGATCCACCACCACTGCAAGGAACTCAAGTCCTCTTTATAAACCATAAAGCAGTTAGACAAGCTCCCCCATGCCCCGTGGTTAGGATTTGTTGTGAGAGTTATTAATTCTTTGCAGATCATCTCAGGTACAGTCAGTATTGTCAGAGAAACATGACACAAGTCTGAGAAAGTCACCACAGAAACATTATTTTGCTGTAGTTTCTTTTAAAAGAAAGTCTTTTGGCATAGCTACACAGTGCCTTGAACTGTAAGTAGTAAATAAAAAAATGTTGGGGAAACACTGTGGAAGTGATCCAGAGTGGGTTTATTGACAGTCATGTATGTATGGCAGCAAAGCCCCAGAAGGAACATTCAGTAGCCACTACTAAGAAAAATGAACAGTTTCAGAAAAGTCCAAAGTGAAAATGACCAATGTTTGGCAGCACTGTTTAACCCAATGTTTAACACAATGTTTAACCCACTACCTGGTAGTACCAGTCCAATTTCATAATCACTACAAGTGCCAGAAACTTTTAGAGAAGATCTGACAGCTGATGATATTTACACCCGGGGCTGGGTATAAATATCAAAGTTGATCATCAGGAATTAATTAGAGAGAGGGTCTGCAGAGAGATGTAGTGCCTCTACTGAACCAAAGGGCAGATAATGAACTGAGAAACTTTTCACCACAAGTGGGGTTTTTCATCTGGATCCATTTCCTACCACTGTAGGCCAGCACGGCTGCAAAGGTGGAAACGGAGCATTCCAAAGATCTCCATGGGAATCATCTGTGCTATAAACCAACTTCCTGTAAAACCTGGACTGCAATTTCATGCAACTAAGGTCTGTCCAACCTGTAGAGCTGTGCTGAGACACAGCTACTGCTCCTTCAAGGCCACAAATGTTTTTACCTCACTCAAGAGCTGTCCCTGAGGCAAGCCAGTGTAGAAACAGCTTTGCAAAGAGCTTAAAAATAGCACAAGGGAGTCTTTGTCAGATACACAGCAGAATCCACAGCTCAAAAGGTTGTTTAATATGCATGAGAGGGTTAGCTGTTTGTAAGATTGTCCTCTTGGATGTGGAACTAAGCTACTTGTCTCTACAAAACACTTCACAGTCAGAGCCAACCATGCAAATATTACAGTTTTGCTTCCTCTTCCCACTGAAAGCAGTGGATTGACATTGTACGTAATTTCCAAGATCAGATTTAATAATAGTCCTCTTTAAAATCCAGATTCTACCTGGCTTCAACTTTGGATTACTAAAGGGCTTCCAAAAGCAAAATAATGTTCCACTTTGAAATCGGTAACTAAAGCCTTGGTTTGCCTCGTCTTATACAGCAGGACAACTCCTGTCACTTGCCAAAGGTGCCACAGCAGCCAGGATAAAGGGCAGAAACTCAAGTTCCATTGTATGGTTATTTCAAAGATTACCTGAACTGCAAAGTAAGGCCTGCCACAGTGCTAACACAGTACCTCTTTCATGTATTGGTTATACAGGGCTTCTGCAGATTCCAAGTAAGTTTGTGCAGTTTCAATTTCATCCCTTCGAGACCACAGGATACCCAGGTTGTTCTAAAGTAAAAAGAAAAAAAAAAAAAACCAACCATCAGTTATTTTCTCACTGCGTTCCATTTACATTACACAGATTCTCCAAACAATTCAGCCTTCATCCTTACATATGTGTGTGTTCTCATACAGTGCATTTCAAAAAGCAAAAATTGTCCCCATCCATTTCACTGTGGAATGCTCAAAAAAAAGGGTTCTCACACAGCAAACTTCACACACAAAATTCACCTCTCAGATTGTAACTTCCTGTGTTTATTCTGCTGGGTAAGGACTGGTGTGTCCAAATAACAAGCTTTTTCCAAGTAAGTTCTGCATCCAATTCATGCAGCTTTTACATCACATACATATGTCATAAAAAAGAGACAAAACATTAGGAAGTTCTTACCATGGCTCCATCGAACAAGTTAACAGGAAAAAGATATGTTAGGAATGAATGCTTGTAAATTTTCAACAACGGAAAGAGATGAAAAGTGCCTTTAAGATGCAAAAGTTATTGGCTACTGCCTTCAAATTAAAGTTAAAGCAACGTACATAGCAAGTCATTGCATCTGTGAATCCACCTTTTATAAATTCTACCTCTAATTTTGTTAATAAGATGGTGTTAATAACAATCTATGTCTGATGTGCTAATTTAGGTCCTAGGCAGTGCTGTTACAAAATCCAAGAGGGCTAAAAAAAAAAAAAAAAAAACAAAAAACCTAAACCTTCAAAATAGTTAGAATGTGTAGCTGTATGCCAGTCTAGTGCCCCTTTCAGTTCCATTCATTTCGTTATTTTTATAAGAAAGCACATCACATGTTGTTCACGAACTGAAATACTTTGCCTTAGGCCAAGCAGCGGAACAGACCAAATTCCCTCAGACAGAAACTGTGATACACAATCTTAAGAAGCAGCTCAGAAAATCAGAAGCAGGAAACAGGAACGTTCCTTCTTTCAAAATAGCAGTCAGTGCTGCAGCAACACGCTCCAGATTCCCAGGATGTGGAGAAGTACGGCCACTGATGGCAACTTTGCACAACAAACTTCATCCTGCTGCTCCCTAAAGGCCCCAAAACAGTAAAGTCCACGCAAACTTTTGCCTAATAGAGACAGGAGCTGCTTTCCAACACACCATTCAGAAGCACAGCGGAATCCCTGGCCCTCAGCCACAAGAGCCACCAGGAACATGCGGGAAGATATTATCTAGTTTTGGCCGCAGCAACCTCTACCTTACAACGGGTAACAGATTCACAGTGGTGCACTGAGGGACGAGCAGTTTAACCTCACAATTCCAGACAACTCCGCTAATTTACCCAGCCTAAGACAAGTCATGTTTGACTGGCACCTTTTCCACATCAGCACACAATTCCTTGACAGTATCGCAACGTTTGATAAGGGAGCACTGCTGAACCTTTTCTAACTGGAGCAACCATTTTTGACAGAGACATCTAAATAACTGCTCTATTTAATTTACAGTCTAGGGACAGATACCTGACTATACACCAGCTGCTGTGACACAGCGGGTCAGCAAAGGCCCTTTTGTGAATCTTCACGTGGCAAGAATTAAGTTTGATAAGAGTATTATTTTCTTCAGAACAAAGTCATGAATACTATTACTTCGAGCCTCAACAAAAATGTATTTACTCATCCGGGACAAAATCTAATAGTTTAAAAGAGAACAGGTGAGGGCAAAAAGCAATTTATCATTTCAGGGGAGCATATCAATAAAAGCATCTCCCAACTCTACTCTGACGACAGATGAGTTAAGGAATCCTATGTAAGTTCTGGCTATACTGAGGTCTTCTACTAATTTATTCCTGCCCAGCTCTGACCAGTTCTGTCTCAGTCTGTCCCGAGGAACACGCTGCTTTGTCAACACCCAATTTCCATTGCGAGAACACGCTTTAAATGCCCTGCACGCCCAGAGGCATCAGCAGGAGGCTTAAAACAGAACCCCCCTGCACAGCCAGCCCCTGGGAATGATTTCTTCCGGCAGGAACTGACGGCCGGGGCCGCGGTGATGATGGTTACGCAGGCAGTGCCAGCCAGGACACGGCGGTGCCCCCCCACTCCCCGCGGCCTCCCCCGCCCACCTGGGCCTGGATGTAGAGGGACACGCAGTCCGGGGACAGGCGGTGCGGCTCCAGGAGCTGCGTGCAGCGCTGCAGGTGCTCCTCGCCGGCCGACAGCTCCTCGGTGTCGGTGTGGTTGACGCCCAGCTCGTACTCCAGCACGGCCCGCCGCACGGCCAGCACCTGCGCCTCGCCGCCCTCCTCGGCGGCGCTCAGCAGCTGCTTCACCTCCTGCAGCAGCGCCCGGGCGCTGTACTTGGAGCGGTACGGCTCCGTCTCGGGGTCCTTCAGCGACTCCACGGCCGACAGCGTGCGGGCGGCGCGGAACTTCTCGCACACCGCGGGCCACCCGCCGCCCGCCGCCATCTTCCCGCGCCGCCGCCCCGCCCTGCCCCGCCCCGCGCGTCAGCACCGCTCCCGCCCCGACCCCGCCCCGGTCCCGCCTCGCCGTCATCCAGCGCCCCCTCAGCGGGGCCGACCCGATCTAGTCCTCGCCTCCCGCCGTCATCCCTCCTCAATGGAACCGTCCTGATCTCGTCCCCCCGCCACCACCGTCATCCAGGGCCCTCTCAGCGGGGCCGTCCCGATCCCACCCCACTGCCATCCGGAGGCCTCATCTCTCCACCCCTTCGGGGTTCCCCCGCCCAGTCTCTGCGACAGGCGGGTACGGTGAAGGAGCTGGCAAACGGAGCCATGGGATGCTCTGCAGGAAGGGTGCCGAGGGGTTGATGTCAAGATTTTTCTGAAAAAAAATTTTAGAACCAGATTTCTTAACGCAAGGGCTGCTGAACGGGCGAGGCTGGGTGGCTGTCCATGCTTGGATGAGTGCTGTTCCACACAGTGCCAAGTTTCCAGGCACACTCACCGCCCTAGGACAGGGACACCCTTACAGATGGCAGCTGCTTTGCTGGGCAGGAAGAAAAATCTCCCAGCTATCTCAGCGAACATGGTTTTTAGTCATCCTCAAAGACAGGTTGCTTTATCAAGGAATAAAGACAAAGAGGAGCATCTAAGAGGCTTTTACTGTTTGATAAAATTCCGCTCAGTCCCATGTCTGTACTGGAGGTTAATCGAGTGTTCTGTTAAAGTCCTCGGTTTCCACTCTTGAACCAGCTGTTCCTCTTGAAGTTGCCTTGCCTCCCGTTTCCAAACCTTGAGAACTCTCGTCCCGCCTCCTGGGGATACTCTTCCAGTTCAGGCAACTCCTTTGCCACCGACAGCTGCCAGCGCCTGGTGTCCTTCCACTGTTCCTGAAACAAGACCAATGTAACGAGACTTTATGTGCCTGCAGGAGTGTCCAAGGTACTTGTATCACTAAAAACAACACTGAACGCACAGGCATTTCCAAACAAATCCCACCCCTGCCAAAATAGCTCATCAGATTCCCCCCGGCAAACACACACACTCTTGGGACAAAGGATAAACCCTCACAAGGGACAAGACAGAGTAAAGTCAACAGAAAACTGGTGGACTCTCAAATTCACTGGAGGTCAAAACCCAGAGCAGACAAAAACCACAGGATTTTGTTTGATAAAATCAGGTAAATATGAAAACAGAAATGAGAAAGAACTGTGGCAGAGTATTTTCTAATGACTGTGCTGTGCTCTTTCTAATCACCCTGTTGTCTATGCAACGTCCTTATTAAAACACAAACCTAAACCTCCCAAACCACCCTATATTCAACCCTCTATATGGCAGTGGCCAAATTTCAAATTACAGAGTTTTAAAGCCGACTGGCTACACAAACATACCTGTATGTTACTCAGTTCATCAACAGGGATATCAAAGCACACCCCCTGTAAGAGAACAAACAAAAAAGAGCCATGTGTTTTCCAAAGATACATCCAAGGACAGAGACACAAAACTCCAGAAAGGCAGCACCTGCAACCACTCATAAATCTAGAAACCAGGGGTGGCAGAAAGCATGGTCTTTTGGGGGACGCTTTTCATAAACTGAAGAAAAAGAGAATTAAAACATAAAAGCTCAAAACAAAATGCAGATTCAAATACTCTGTGCTGACAGCAGCATTGCCTGCTGTCAGTTTGTCTGTTTAAAAGTACCACAGGGCTCACGTGGCACCACAAGGCACCAAATTTTTATGTCAGTATTTTGGAACTCCTGCCTCCATCAATGCACCAGCTGGCCATATGTGCACACACACACACCCCTCCACACCCCTCCTTCCCAAGGCTGGGTCATCTCACCATCTTCCCCTTGAGGAAACGCATTGCAGATACTTTGTTATCCACCTCCTCCCCAAGCTGTTCTTTGAGCCCCCTCCAGGCATAGCCCATGGTGTGCATCTCTATGGAACACTTCAACACCATGGTCACAAAGCCCTGCAGGACACAGAAAAACGTTTCACAAGATTAAACATGGTCAAACAGCCTGTAAACCACTAATGAACTACATCATAACTCGTTATGCAGTATTTTATCCTAAGCAATCAGCTTCCCAAAAGTGAAGCAACCAAAAGCCTCCTAAGAAGCTGAAGGCATCCATCTAACCTAGGATTGCCCACGGATATAAAGGCCAATAGCATTTCTGCATTTTAGCCAGAAGAGACACATTTATTCAATAAATAAACTTACTGCCAGAAAACAGGTACCCCCCCCCCAAACTGATATGAGAACCACATTATGTCCAGAACTGTGTGACCACGTTCTCCCTAAACACATTAGAAAAAGGAAGGGCTGTACTTTTAGTTTAAGATGTCTTTGTGATCAGGTAATCACATGCTACACTTGAAATATTGCAAAAATGTAGAAAGAATCCTGATAATGGAAAACTACAGTAGCACAAACCAATTGTTTGCTTGTAAAATGCATTAGTTAAACTCTCTTAGAGCATCAGTCTTCTGCCATGTCACTCTCTGGAGAAATTCTTTTAAGACAAGGAAATTTACTGATTCAGAGATTCTCCCACTAAGACCTGATTTCAGTTAAGAACAAGCAAAAAAAAATTAGGAGCTTGGGAGTGCCAGTTCTTCAGAAACCCTACTGGAAATGCCAGGGAAGAAGGTGCCACACGTGGATTGGACACAATCAGTTCACACATCTGTTCCAGTTAATCCCGGGGCACCGTCACTCACGGCCGTGGAGTTGAGCAGGGAGCGCTGCTGGATGTAAGCTGCCCCTGAAATATGGGCCAGGGCTGCAGCCAGGGCAGCCACTGCCCCCTTCTCCTCTATGAGCTCTTCAGCAGATTTTCTGAAGTAGTCGACTGCAGAAGCAGGAATGGCCTCCAGCAACCTACATGGTGACAACAACAGTCGAAGAGATCAGAAAAGGCCACTGTGAAGTGCAGTCATGTTTAAGGCATTGCCTAAAATGGTTATTTCTGGGAAGGGCAAACAAAAAAAAAAAAAAGATGGGAACTAAGAACAGCTACTTCTGTAATGCTCTTTTGGACACCTCCCACCATTTCTCAGTCACAGTGCACCCAACACCATGCCCATCATCTGCTTTGCACTGGTCAAATCCTCACTAATTATTTTAATCTGCTTCAATGTAATTTTGACCAATGGGGCAGCAAATGTAAAAAGAAATGCATGGAATATAAAAAACACAACCCTTGGGAGCAAAATATTTAGACCTTTTTTAAGAACAGGTAAATAAACTTACTTTTTGGCATCATTACTTGAAGCTTTAATTACATCTGTAGCAGAGGGAACGCCCACACGCTTAAATGTAATCCCCTGAAATCAAGAAAACAAATTACAGTTAAAGGTATTTTTGGCACTCTATAACTCAATCTTACCTAAGTCACGTCACTGAGACCTCTGCTTAATGTCTAGAAGATCAACATCCTCTCTACTAAAGTTATTTCTAAAGCTAAAATAAAGCTTTTAAGTTTCTGGCTTTGTTTATCTGAAGCTACTTTCCTCCAGTGTACATGCAAACTGTAATTCAAGGCACGGTCTCCCTCATGAATTCCCAGCCTGCCTGCTGACATCCACAGAGGACTGTCAGCACGGCAAAACTCTTGAGACACAAGAACAGGCTGATACAAAGGCATTTACAATCACCAAATAGCAATATTTGAGGCCTACTAGCCTATGGGACATTAGTCCCACACCGGACTCACAAGCAGCCCACGGTTACAGTCTAAGAGTGGCAGGTAGAAGCTGAATGATTTCATTAAGCACAGGTTTGAGGCAGAACTCACCGCTTTGTGCTCAACTTGTTTCAGAAGATCTTCTTCTCTTCTCTGAAACAAACAAATGCAGATGCCGGTCCGGCCAGCGCGGCCTGTCCGCCCAGAACGGTGGATGTAGGAATCAACATCCTTCAGAAATTCAGATCAACAGGAGAAAAACTAATGTCATTTTAACTGCTGACATTCACATTAAATGTAAGCTAAGTTTTAAGTCAGAAGCCTAAGGAGCGATACATTACACATAAACCACCTAGGTTTGATTACACTGCCATGCCCAACTATCCTGCTCAGCTTTAACAGACACTATTGACATACAGTTTTATTTTTTCTACATAAAAAGCTCCACTAGAGTTTCAGAAGAAGAAAGACAGAAGGAGT